CTGGAGGCCCCTGGGCTGGGCAGGAGGGTCCCAGAGGTGGGGGAAGGCTGGAGCAGGGACTCGCGAACAGCCCTGCCTCGAGTGACCAGACGTCCTGTTTTTAACAGGAAAAAACCCTAAATGGTCTGGTAGCTCTTTAACAAAACGTGCAGATGGGATCATGAGCTTTCATGGGCTCAGCCCACTTCTTCAGACAACCAGATTCCCAGGACGGCCCATATTCAAGCTCTCCTGGAGGTGCCTGACTTTTTCTTACAAGCAGGCAAATTGTCCTGTGTTTCCTGTCTCTCTCCTCTATTTCCACCAGCACCAGCTGGTCCTGCTGCTGGCCAGATCCCTGTTTGCTGCCCACTGCCCCCCAGGGATGGGGAGCCCCAGCTGGTCCTGCTGCTGGCCAGATCCCTGTTTGCTGCCCACTGCCCCCCAGGGATGGTGGGGTCCAGTGGCCGATGATGGCAGTGGGAGTGCACGCTGTGTGTGTGTTAACTGGGGCCCAGTCAGCTGATTGCCGTTGAACTCCCCTGAATACGAGTAGTTTCACCAGGCATCCCATATTCAACACACGCTGCCAATGCCCCCCTGTGACAAAGTTTCATTCCCCTTGTTAGATTGCATGTGAGCCTTGAGGTGTTATAATAACCCCAGGCATGTGCCTCAGTTTCCCTGGGTACTGCAACAATGACTGGATGGGGGATGGGAATTTTGGGTGTTCTACGCGCTGGCAGAGTCACATCTGGCTGTGGATGGGGGTGCAGGGACCTCTCACTCTCCATACGTGTCAGTGACACCCCCCACTCCGCGCAGTAGTGGGTCTGTGCCCCGACCGGCCCGTCACTGGTCACTGTGGCCTTGCTGGGGTTCCCCTGTGCAGGTTCCAGCCCCGTCTCGGGGGCAGCAGGAAGCCGCAGAGCTGCACCTCTCGGTGCGGGGGGACACCCTGCAGTTCTCGGAGCGGACGACAGTGCTGCTGCGGGTGCTGGAGCCGGGGACCTTTGTGCAGACGGACAAGGCCGTCTACAAGCCGGGACAGACAGGGGAGGGGCAGGGG